CCGACCGCCCGCCCCGCTCCCGACTCACCACTCCGCGGCGCAGCCCCCGGCTCCCGGGCGCCGTCGGGCCCCGCACCCATTTAAACTGCGCGGCCGTTAGCGGTCGCCCCGTAGCCAATCAGGTCCCGAGGGGGCGGTGCCAAGGCGCGCGGTTTCCGGAAGCGGCTGGCGGAAGGGGCGGGACACTAGTGCGAGGTCGGGGCGTGGCCCGGGGCGTGCGGAGGCGTCGTTTGGCGGGTTGCGGCCGCGCACATGCGGTGGGGCTGGCGGCTGCGTCGCGGTGTCTCGCGGGCGGTGAGGCGGTGGACGAGGACGCCGCCGGCGTTGTCATCTATCCGGGGCCTAAAGGCCTGGTGGGCCCTAGGCTGAGGACGGGCCCGCTCCTGCGCCTCTGGTGTGTGTAGCTTTTTTCTGTCCGGGCTGCGTGGCCAGCCTGTGCTGTGTGCTCCCTTAAAAGCCCTCCCCAGCCCTGGCTTTCGGGGAGGCTCAGGGAGGTTCCGGCCACAGCCCCTGGCCCTGTCAGGACACCCTGGGAGCTGACTGCAAGAGTGGCGCTGATCGTAACTAACGGCTACCTACATTTACAAATGAGTGTGCATTTCACATCCCACGTTTATTTGTGCAGTTAATGGCTTTCATAATCTGTACAAAAAATTTGGAGAAACTACAAACTTTCCTGACCCGGGTATTGAACGCAGGGCCTTCGCACTGAGCTACATCCTTAGTTGCTCAGCTGGGCTCAGACATGTGATCCTCCTGCCTCAGCCTCCCAGAGTGCTGAGAAAACAGGCATGCAGCACCACGCCCAGCTAAACTTTCTTTTTTGTAAGCCATTAGATGGAAAAGGAAAATGGCTTACATCTAGGTTTTAATAGCAGATTATATGTTCGTGCAGTCACCTTCGACCTCGTGTTAGTTTTCTGTTCATTTGGGACCGAACACTAGGGTCCCAGCTTCCATCCAGAGAATCCTAACTGTTGCATGAAGCCTGCCATCTGCCTCTGGATGCCTTCCACATCCCACGGGAATCTTGTGAGAGTAGAAAAGATGTATCCAGTGGCCAGCTGCTAGAGTCAGAATCAATAAAGCCTTCACCAATCATGGTTTAGAATGTAACACACCGGTTATAGAAATTTCCAGTTACCAAAGGGTTCACTAACCTAACACAGTAGAAGTTCACAATCTGTGTTTCTTTAAATGAACCTTGTCTTGTCTCAGCTGTTTAATGGTCATTTAAGTTAAGTGGAGTCGTTCAGTCTTTCCGGGCTTCTGTTTTGCATTTGTAAGCATGGAGGTCGGCAACATCCAATATGCTTTTATGATGGCTCTGGTCCACAAACCCTTTTGTTCAGGTATCGTCTTTTTCCTAAATGGCTCATATTGTAGGTACAACTTCAAAACTAAAATAAACAGAAAAGGGAGACAGGAAAGTCAGAGGTAGGACAGATGTTTTAAAAATTTTTATAATGCTTTTAAAAATGCCACTCCACCCGAGAAGAGGTGGCAGTGCTTTGTGACGAACTCCCGGAAATGGGGGTTCTTGTTGCGTGCAGCCACACACCCGGCATGCCTGTGAGCGGGGCTGAGTTTCCCTGACCTCAGTGCTGTTTCCGATGAGTTTCCTCTGGCCTCTTGGTCAGGTCAAGGCAGGAGCCTTGGGGCAGTCTGAGAGCTGCAGCCCAGCCTGCTCTGCGTGCCTGTGAAATGAGCTGGGGTCCCAGTGACCCGAATCACAGCCATCCCCTCCTGCGCTCCAGCCAACTCTGCTCTCCACTGCTTCTCTTATCACACCGGTTAGCTGCCTGGCCTTCTGTACCTGAGGTTGAATTTCAAACAATTAAAATTTACCGGTGCTGAGCCACCCACTGGATATTGAGGGGTTAGATTGCAGTCCACACCTCATCCTCCAGCCTGTGCCTCCCTATGGCGATCCAAGTCGTAAGCTTTTTTTTACTCAAGACTCCAAAGATGAAACCAAACCACAGAGCAGGAGCCCAGCAGGGGGCCGGAGAAGCTGCTGTGCTCACTAGGTGCGTGTGTGCCTGTGTGCGCATGTGTGGTTGGAGGGGCTCAAACCCACAGGGACTCTGCCACCTAGTCACATTCCCAGCCTTGTCTTACTTTTTTTTTAAATTTTGAGGCAAGGTCTTCATAAGTTGCCCAGGCAGACTTGGCCTGTCTCAGCCTCCCAAAGCTCTGGGATTAGAGGTGTGTGGCTGTCTTGGTTACTTTTCTGTCATTGCTGAGACAAAATACCCAATGCCCAAAATTAAGGCAGGAAAGGTTTATTTAGTTCATAGTTTGTGGAGGTTTCAATCTATAATCAGTTGGCTCCAAGTCAGGGTGGAATGGCACAGGGGCAACAGTTCAAGGCGGCAGAAGACAGCAAAAGCAGTAAGAGCTAAAGGGAGGAGAGCAAGCCTCTTTTCCTCCCTTATATGGTAAGCAGGCTACCTGCCCTAGGGCAGGTATAGCACTCCTATTATATCCCTATCCTCCTCTTGCACTGGGTGAGGACTGAGGACCCTGACCCCCTGCTGAGTTGTGTAAGCTTCTAAACTTCTCAAGTTGACAGATGTATCAACCTATACAGTGGCCCAGCTCACCTCCATTACTAAGGGACTGCCCTGCCTGTGTCGGAGCACCAGGCAGAAGCCTGCACTTCAGAGCTCTCTCAGCCTGGATAGGGCCTGGCTGTGGAGTGGCTGGAGGCCTCCATACCCCTGCTCAGGTACAGTAAGCACAAGGGATTGTGGGAAACTCCCGATCCTGGTGTTGCAGAAAAATCAGTATCAAGGAAGACTGCATGGAGGAGTTAAAAGGCAACTTTTATTACGCTAGCGGTCTGGGGAACTTAGAGGTTCAAATCACTAGCCCAGAGTCGGGTTTGAGTTCAGTTTAAACAGGGTTTGGGAGTGGGAAGTACACAGCTGATAGCAGGTCATCACACGATAGCCACATGGAATACAAGAAGCACGTCATATATCGCCAGGCAGGTTTACTTAAAAGGAATTGTCTAACATTCTGGGAAGGCGGGGAGGGGGTTGTGCGCAGAGCAAGTAGAGCTAAATGAGTCCTTGACTGGGCCAGTCTGTCCCAGACAGGAAGTCCTTGAAGCAGGTTGGAAACAAAATATATTTTTCTAAGGAAAACACAAGCTGGACACAGTCAAGCTGGCCCAGCACATTAGCAAAGAGAAGTAGACGGTCAAGGCTGACTATCTACCTGACAGGCAGCAGGAGCACGGTCACAGGCTCTGAGCTGATTTCTCACTTTTGCTATAATATGCCTACAAGCCGCATCCAGGGACTGCACCCATCAGGGAGGAAGTACCCTGAGCCTGGCCTTGGGGTTGGACTCTGCGCCTCCAGCAGTATAAGAGAAGAACTTCGTGGCCTCAGCTCCAGGCTGCAGTGTTGTCAGAGCAGCCCAAGGAATGTAGTAGTGCAGGCTGGTTGTTGGGTGTGGTTGTATGTGTGTATGTGTGTGTGTATGCATGTGTCTGTGAATTGTCTACACCTTTGTGTGAATTTCTCTTTGTGTGTTGACTTTTTGATGTTTCCCTCTCAGGCTCAATTGCAAATATTTCCTCCCAGTTTGTAATTTGTATATTTGTTGCTAGTCAAAAATTTTAAAGCACTGTCAAATTTGTCAATTTTATTTTTCCTTGTATTTGAATTTTGAGCCATAGATTTTTTTTCTGTATCTGGTTATAGAGAAAATCATTTATGGTTTATTCTAAAACTTACATGGTTTCTACTATGGTTGACATCTACACATCCCCCTTACCAAGCCTCATGGCTCATAGACAGGGCTCTGAGGAGGTGCTTGGATCATGGGACTGTCATACTCATGGGGGATTCGTCCATTGATGGGTTACAGCTGGGTGTGAGGCTGGGAGGTGAAGGCTGGTGGGAGAACGTGACATTGGGTCGTGGCCTAGAAGGGTCCTCTCCCTCCTCCGTTTCCTGCCCCCATGCCATGTGCTTTCTCCTCTGCCAGGGCCCTGTGCCATGCCATCCTGTCCTGGAGCCAGCGGACTATGGCACAAACCTCTACAAACTGAGCCGAAAGAAACCTCTCCTTATAGGTGTCAGGTACTGTGTCTTTGCAATGAAGAAAGAACGAAGACAGCGTCACAGGAGACATTTATGTCCTTGGTCCATTTGGAATTCCCTCTTGATTATAAGTTGGTGAATCTAATTTTATCTTTCTCTAAATGGCAAACTGGTTGTCATCCCAATATGTATTAAAATATTCATCTTTTCTCTAGTGATTTGAGAAATCATTTTGAGCAGTTAATAAATTTCCATATGAATAAAGATCTATTTCTGGAAGTTTCACTTTTACTTTACAGGTCTATTGTCTGTTAACATTCTCAGAACCAAGAGGAGATAAAAACCAGATTTACAGTAACATTTTAGTAACTGGGAGGGCTATTCTCCCCTTGTAAATTTTTTTTTTTTTTTTGCTGTTTTGAACATTTATTTCTCCACATAAACTTTAATATCAATTCATCTGTCACATTTTATTGGCATCGTGCTAAAAATATAAATCAAGTTAGGGAAAACTGATGTTGATAATGTTGAAGAATGTCTTTCCATCGTTCACTTGTATTTTGTATCTTCTAGGGCACTTTCAACTTTTTCTCACGGGAGGTTTGCATATTTCAAGATAATTTCATCATGAAAACATTTTATCTTCTCGGTTGTTACTCTATTTTTCTGTGACTAATGTGTACATATACATAAGGTCTATGTTAGTCTTCTAGTATTAGTGTGTTTCTATCAACATTTCTTTGCATGTCCTACTTTTTACTTTAACATTTTGTTGCTGAGTAGTACGCTATTGTGTATAAACATCACAGTTTCTTTATCTAGTTATTTGTTGATGGACATATATGCTGTTTCCAAGATCCATCATGAATTGTGCTGCTGTGAACACAGGTGCACACGGATCCCTGTAATATAATGACTTAGAATCTTCTGAGATGATACCTAGCGGGGGAATAGCTGGGTTAAATGGAATTGCTATTTTTAGTTCTTTGCAGAATCTCCACACTGATTTCTATAGTGGTTGTACTAGTTTTCATTCCCACCAACAGTGTTGAAGAGCTCCTTTTCCCCTACATCCTTGTCAGCAGTTATTATTTGGTTTTTTGATGATGGCCATTCTTTTTGGGGTAAGACGACATTTAAATGTAGTTTTGTCCTTTTGTTTATTCTTTGTAAAAGAGAATCTCTTTTTTTGTTTATGACTTGTACTCGAGTAAATTTTGGCCATTCTTTAAAGATCAAGATATACAACATATTAACCACTGTTATTCTCTATTTTGTTATGAAAAATGACAGAAATAAAAGAATTGTTCCTGAATTACTTGAATAGCATTCATAACCATTATATAGTCATCATGAACTGTGGCAAAAAACATGCTCTTTGTTTCATTTAATGCACTGTTCTAAGTTCTACTTTGCTATTAGGGCTATGACCTGTTATGGTTAGATTTAAAGTGGCCCCTGAAGCCTCCTGTGTTTGGAAGGTGGCTGAATCATGGGGTCTTTGATGACTTGCTCTTAGGAGGTGGGGCTGGGTTAGAGAGGTTACTGGGGCATAGCCAGATGGTTCATCTTCCCTCCTGGCTCCTCCCTTCTCTGCTTCCTTGCTGCCATGAAACCGTGAGCCAAAAAAAAAAACATTCCTTCTCAGGAGCTCTTTATCTCATATATCTTCTCACAGCAATGGAAAGATGGCTCAGACAACATTAAAACTTCCCTTGCCAAGGTCACCAGAAACTCCCATGTTGGCAAGTCCAGTGGACTTTTTTTTGTACCGGGAATCGAACTCAGGACCTTGTCCTTGCCAGGAAGGCGCTTATGCCACTGAGTTATATCCTCGGCCCCTCCAGTGGACTTTGGCATTTGATAATAGTGACACCTTGCTCTTGTCCTGGCTGCCTCTGCTTCTGATTCCTCCTTCCACGTCGCAGCAGTCAGGGCTTCATCCCATCTCATCTCTCCTTGTTTACCTGCCCCTTCTGCAGGTGCTTCCATCCAGCTCCATGACTTTAAACGCTTGTCTTTTGCATTCACACCTTCATCAAAGAGCCCACTCCTGAGCTCCACATTTGGCCAGCGGCTATTCACCTCTCTGCAGAGGTCTCTCTTAATCAGGTGAATCTCACTGGCAAAATGTGGCTCTGATTTCCCCCTCCAAGTGTTTTCCACTCCCACAGGACCCTGTTTCAGTAAATTTGTCACAATCCAGTTATTTGAGCCAACAATTTAGGGGTGCCCCTGCACTTCTCCTTTCCTTTCCCCATGCGCAGTAGCAATGAATACGCCTGGTGCAGCGGCCTTGCTGAGGGTTGAGCGCCCCGCTCCCCAGCGTCTTCTGATGGCGTGGGGATGCCCCTGGCTTTGGTGAAGCGTTCTTGGAACTGCGTGCTGGGCACAGCTTTTCCTGCCCCTCCTCTGCGAGGGTCTACAGGGACTGAGTCTCTGGCTGTCTTCCGCCTCCTCATTACGTCTGCAGCGCTTCCCCAATAGCTCTCTTGCACGTGCGCTCCCATCCTGTGGACTGCTGGAGATCCCTCGTTAGCAAACCCTGCGACCTGTCCAGCTCCTCTGCCTGCGTTTCCCGCCCACTTCTCTGTGGCTACCACCACGCACGCAGGAGCTGCGACCTTCTCCCCGTCCTAGGCCTCTCCAGCCCCTTCCCACTGCGGCAGTCGGTGATTTTCCAACAGTAGACCGGTGTCGCCACGCCCTGCTTTTCTGATCCGCACTGACTGCAAAGTTTAAACCCCGCCCGGGCCACGGCGGCCTTGGGGCGGCACCGACTCTCCCGGCGTCCGCTCCTCCACGCCCCGCAGGGCCCAGCCCCCTGTGCGCGGCCTTCCCGGCCTCTCCCTTCCTGCGGAGTCCTCGTCTGTGCTCAGAGCGGCTGCCCGGCGCCGCCCCTCTCGTCCACAGTCCCCGCGGGGGCGCCGCCCGCCGACCCTGCCGTCCCGCCGCCTGGCCGCTCCCCGGCGTGGTGTCCGCTTCTCCCGCCTGACCGGTGGCCGCAGGTGCCGCGTGGTTCTCCCCAGGCCGGAGCGAGGGGACGCGGAACACATCTGCGCGGGTGTCCAGGACCCGGACGCGCCGGGCCGAGCGCGCCTCCGCCTTCCCGGCAGGCCCCGGGACGGGTCACAGGTCACGGGTCGCGGGGCGGGAAGCCACCGTCGCGCCCTCGCCTTCCGCACGCCCGCGGGTTCCGCGAAGGCCTCGGCGCGGCTCAGGTGCACACGAGGGTGAGGTTCTTCCCGGCTCAGCCTTCCCGGCTGTGAGGAATGAAAACGCGCGCGTCCCAGGTCGCGCCCGGGGCCGCAGCGGGGTGGGAGCGCCGGGGGCCGCAGACGCCCTCGCGGGACCCC